CGGGGCTCGATCCCAGGACCCTGGGATCATGACCCGAGCCGAAGACAGAGGCTTTAACCCACTAAGCCACCCAGGCGCCCCTAGAATTTACAATTTTAGATCTGATTTTGCTCATTGCTTTATTTAAAAATTGTTAATTCTTAGGTCATTGGAATGGTCTTAATATTTCTGACTTCATCCAGCCATCGAGAACTGCCTCCCAATCTGTGCAGAGCTCTTGTGCATGTTGGACATGTGCAGGAACGTGCATGCAAGCCAACAAGCATCATTTAATACAATTTAACATCTATATGCCACAGTACAATACTACAGGGAACAAAGTAAGGAGCTGGATGGTAGAGCTGTTCTAGAGCTCAAAAGTATTGCTTCTTGAATACTAAAATAAAAGTATTTCTATTTTAGTACCTATACAAAAAGCAATTCTTATCCCCAGGTACTCATGACCTACTTTGTTGAAAAACTGTGTTATGTAAATCATACAGAGTTCCTATTCTGATCCTAACACATGTATTTGTCTTAATGTAAAAATTTAAAAATTACTTACCAGTCAAATTACTTAACTCACCGCCCCCTCAATGAGCACAATTGAAGCTCCAAGAAGATGGGTCATGTTTATCTTGTGACTTCAAGTACCCCGGAATCATACCACTTTGTACCCTAAGGGTATTCATATCCCAGTTTGAGAAACAGGGATCTAAACAATTAAATAGCCATAACACTTAAAAGTGACCAACATGTTCCTACAACCCCATTCCCCAAACTCTTACCAGTAGTTTTCTAAATAGCTTTTCAAATCAGTAATGTTTCTCTTTTAGCACTCATTAATATGTACGCTGTGTCAACACTCCTAAAAAACCCTGCAGGGTACAAATTATTTCTGGAGTGACAGAATACTAGCACTTAGACCTTCTCCTTCCCATCTATCAATGTACCAAGCTGACCATGGAAAACAGACATGTGAAGAATAGTAGAGCTTTCACTCCTGCTCCCTTCCTCCTCTCTATTTGCTCCAGGCAGTTTGTAAGAAAAATCTTAGTAGCCGTCACTTAGATGATTCATTCACACAAGCTTATCTAATGTCAGCATTTCTAATTCCCACCTTACTCTTTTGCTCTTACACAAGGGAAATTAAACTATTTTCACATCTTCTAGGGGATAAGAAAGATGTGCCTTCTGATAGCCTCAGAAGAGATCATTTTCCTACGCAGAACCCCACTTTTTTAATAAGATTCAAAGCCTAGCAGATCTCAACACTTATAAGGCCTGTTTCAAGTTCCCTATGATGACCATGATATTTTATAACAGAAATTGTAGATTATAGTAAATTTTAAGTGATACTTTAAAATGTTTTTTAAAAGCTACTCATAAAGACTGTAACTGATGCAAAAATGGGTCATCAGCTAGGCTAACTCAAGTTAACTAAGACAACTTTTATCTAAGATCTATTTCCCCAAGGACAGGATTCCATCAAAATTTCAAATTGCCTTGGGCCATGGACTTTTGAGGTTATTTGCTAATAGTCAAAAAATACATTCCAAGGGTTTCTGCAGAAAAACAACCATTTCCTGGGGTCTTCCTATGTACACACTCAGAATAGTACTTAATGCTTTACACACATTCTCATCAACTTGGAAAACAGCCTCTGTAATTGGTATTGTTCTCTCTCAAATGGGGACCGTAGGAGTAGAGAGGTTAAGTAACTTGCTCAGTGTCACCCAGCTAGTATATATGGCAGTGCAGTTCCAAACCAAGGATTCTGACTATAAAACCTATATACCCTCAGTCACCCACTGTCCACCATCTCCTATATCCAAGAACAATATAGCAAATCCTCCAACCCCAGAAAGGATTTACTACTCCCAAGACCAAGAAATGGAAAGAGCATTTACCTCTCCGTGACTGCAAAGTCAGTTTGAGGAGGGAAAACAGAACTCTCAAGCCCCTGGTTAGCAATCTGTCCACTAGTGCATCTTGTTCTTTGGCTCCAGATCTGTGATCATTCTAAAACAGAAACACAAATAATTTTATCAATACCAAATATACACTAATGCACACATAACATGAAAAGCAAAGTAAGGGCAAGATGAAAATGGATAAAACTGGTTAAGAAACAATATACTTGTTAAGAGGTCACATAACTAAATGAGGCATTCCATAAATTCTATCAAGCCAATAAAACACTTATATTTTTAGACATTTGCTTAATAGATAAAGGATCTGTAATTTGTTTTTCTACATGTCCCAGTGAGGATGTCTGGCTGGTTCAGTTGGTGGAGCACATGACTCTTTTTTTTTTTTTTTTTTAAAGATTTTATTTATTTATTTAGCAGAGAGAGAGATATCACAAGTAGGCACAGAGGCAGGCAGAGAGAGAGGGGGAAACAGGATCCCTGCTGAGCAGAGAGCCTGATGCAGAGCTGAATCCCAGGACCCTGAGATCATGACCTGAGCCGAAGGCAGATGCTTAACCCACTGAGCCACCCAGGTGCCCCAGCACATGACTCTTAATCTCAGGGTTCTTGGTTTGAGCCCCAAGTTGGATACAGAAAATACTTAAAATAAAATCTTAAAAAAAAAAAAGTACCCCATTAAGATCTTGCAAGCAAATAATGGCATATGTATATATATATATTCAAGCTGACAAAAAATTCTTATATAGTAATAGTCCTTTAACAGTATATTTCCTTATCTTCAGCAAGTAGTGGCTTTACTGATTAAGTTAGCTTACACCACAAGACTGTATTTTTCAGTTTAATAAGATAACAATGGAGATAGCTTTCACTGACTTGAAATTCCAAGCAGCAAAGCAATGAAATACTTTATTAGCTGATAATTCTCTCCCCAAATAACAAATAAATGAACTATCAAGCTTCAGGCAACAGTACAAAGGAACTTACTTGGAAGGAAGGAAGGAAGGAAGGAAGGAAAGAAGGAAAACAAACTCCCAAGTGAAAGTGCTAAATTTGAACTGAGAGTTTCCAAAGAATTTGGCATATAAGGTAAAACTAGGAGGGAATCCACCTCATAATTAACTAAAGCCCATAAAACCAAGCTGATAAAATACTTACAGCTAAAGAAGTCATCTCTGCTGAGAAGCAATTTACAACTTGAACTGAGGATTAATATATCTAGTCAAACACTTCTGTATTGGAGTCCATATATTGTTACTAGCATGCCTCAAAGGAAATGAGATTTTATTTACTCAACATTCTAAGGGTGACTAAAAATGAAGATCAAGCATGGAAAAATCACTATGCTTGGTGTATATATTAGCAGTGTATATACAATGTCACATCTCTGCACTCAAATACTGATCACTAAGAAAATGCACAAAGATACTACCAGGGAAGATTTGTGGATAGTGACTAAAGTTCAGGGATGTTTAGAAAAACAAATATGGGGGCGCCTGGATGGCTCAGTGGGTTAAAGCCTCTGCCTTCGGCTCAGGTCATGATCCCAGGGTCCTGGGATCGAGCCCCACGTCGGGCCCTCTGCTCAGCAGGGAGCCTGCTTCCTCCTCTCTCTCTGCCTGCTTGTGATCTCTGTCTGTCAAATAAATAAATAAATAAATAAAGAAAAAAAATATGGTATGCCAAATCCACACATCCAACTGCAAACCTGGGTCTGCAAGGTTATACATTTGCCATTATTGTTCTTCCCAAATCTGTATGCTCTTTCTTAAAGTATTAAATTATGACAAATTTTAGTTGTTTGAAGAGGACCTAATTCCTAGCAGAAAAGTCTCAAGTCATCTGGAACCAAGACAGGTAAATAAGGTAGATAGATGATCAACTAAATTTCTGGTTTAAAAAAATGAAATGGAGGCTATAAAATAGATGCTGGGGAGTGAATTTGATGCCAGAAGCATCCCTCAAGCAAACAAACAAACAAAACCCCACACACACACCAAAAAAAAAATCCCACACATAAAAAACTCCACCCCCCCCCCCCAAAAAAAACCAAACAGAAACAAAAAACAGTCTCTAGAGGAGACTTTTCGCCAGCAGGCACCACTGTGCAAGTCTCTGCCACGGGACTCCTCCTTGAGGCCCTAGTCAGCCGCAGGTGGCCTCTGCACTCCAAAAGAACTCCCTCACTTTGTGTGTCCTTTAAAGCAAAACCCTAAAGCTCTTAAACTGGAGTGCATCCTAAGAATGACCTTTACAGCTTCTAAATTTTTTTATGCTGGTTGAATAGACAGACCCCCAAGGATGACTTTTACAGTTCCTCTTAAATAAGCCATATTTTCTTAAGAGAGCAAACATTACTGCTGTAACCTTCCTCGTGTTGCTGATTTAAGTAATAAGGTCCTTTGGGTAACCTTATATCCTCCCTCAATTTATTCTCTGTAGATTTCATTTTCCAAAAAAAGTATGAATCCCTGGCATACAGGAAATCTCAAAGAATAGCAACTCTGTAGACAAGGTCTATACTATTAAAACAAAGAGAATGATATGGAAGTCCAAGCAGCTGGTGACTATAAGGCAGAAGTGAATGAAGAAACAAAACATGGTCTGTGGAGCACAACACTAACCAGGGCAAACAAGCTTTACTCGTGGATCAATCACAGATCTTCTGGATTTTAATCTTTAACACATAGAGAGCTTACTTTTTTAAGTAAAACAGACCACCTGCCAACCACATGTCAAAAAGAAAATAAAACCAGAAATCTCAAGAATGCAAAAACTTACACAAATGGACTAATTTATTAGACAATTAAGCATGGCTCTATTCCCAAACCTAACACTTCATCAATACTGGATTTGTTAGTGCAATTTTACTTTTACCAGAGAGGAGGGGGAGAAGGAACGTTTTGAAGGGGTCTCCCCCCACCCCGGAAAAAAATGCTGAAAAACTCTCTTATAGAGCCAGATTCCTGCAAAATCTTACAGAATGAAATTACACACAGCAGACCAGACAACTTCACTTAGCACCAGGCTGTTTTAATTTCCTCATAAGCTTAACAGAGCTTTCCTCAAAAAAGAAAAAAAAGGTTAATCAAGATCTTCCTCTCTCCAACACAACCCGAGCTGACACATCAACTACTGCAGATACTACAGTAAAGTGCTCAAACATTTCAGGAAAACAGAAAAGAGAAAACTATGGCAATTCGACAGGAAGCTTTTTAATCATTCAAAAAAATAGGTAAGGACAGTAAATTTAGTATACGTGCCCTGTTTAACTTCTTTTGCCGCCTATAGCGGACGTAGATTTTTAACTTTCCTAGTTGATTTAAACTCAAAGCATGAATACTACGTATGCGAATGTTTACTTAATGCTAAACTCTGGGCTACAGGAAGTCAGCTACTAAAGAGTAGTTACATTAGGCGTAGATATTTATAAACCAACTGCAACTAGCGACCCAGGATTCAATTACAACATCAACCCTCATATTTCAGCATATGGGCAAATTACCAGTGGGGTCAAGAATAAATTCATTCTGCCGTACTGGCGCTTTAGATCGGGTTGCACAATCCCGAGGCAGAACTGCCTTCGCCTAGCCCTAAAGCATCAGGTACTAAATACTGTACTAACTTAGCGTCAGGACATTTTAAAGCGGGAAGGAAACTAAAGGGTCGCCTGATCCAATTTAGCCACCCAATAATCCCGAATTCAGTAATTTGTCACGTCACTTGAGATCAGAATGAAATTAAGTTTTGATCCCTTTGAGATCTCTTAGCGCACAAAGTCAGGCTATCACTACAAGTGGAGTCCCATCCTGACTGTAGAAAAACTACTTGGTGCGGAACTCGAGTGTCTTCCGCCCACCGTGAGGGACCGCACCGGTCAGGTCCAGCGAAGAGCCTGGCCGCGAGTTTGGGGGCGCAGCCGGGCCCGGCGGGGGCGGCGAGCGCGCGTCCCCCCGCCCGCTCAGGCAGCGTCGAGGCGCGAGCAGCTCAGCCAGCCTTGCAGAGGGAGCTCTCGGCAGCTCTGGGGTCCCTCTGCTCGCAGCCGCAGCAGCGCCGCCTGCGCCACTCGGCGGAGACGGAGACCAGCGGCGGCGGCGCGCGGACTGGGAGCGACCGCGGAGCAGCCAAGCGGCAGGGGTACGCTCGCAGAGCGGCCGGGTAGGTTCCGGGGACCGGGCAGGCTGGAGGAGGGGCAGCCGGAGAGGAGTCGGCCAGGGCCCGACACCCATACTACACGGAAACCGGGCTGCGCGCGCGGCGGCAGTGGGTCGGGACCCTAGAGCAAGGCGGGCGCGGGAGCCGGGACGCAGAGATCGCCTTTCGGCTGCGGCCACCCGCCGCGGGAGGGGCGGAGGGCAGAGGGCGGGCCGCGGCCGGGCAATCAGTCGGGCCAAGAGCCGGCCTCGAGGGCAGAGACAAAGGAAGGAAAATGGAGTCGCCGGCGCGCGGGCCTCTGCTGCTGCCGCCGCCGCCGCCGGAGGCCTAGCGCGCCGCCAGGAGGGAGGCCTAGCGGGCGGCTGTTGGGGGGGGGTCGGCCGGGCCGCGGCGGCGACGGGCAATGGCGGCGGCCGCGCCGCAGCAGGGACGGTAGAGGGAGACAAACACCCCCCCGGCGGCGGCGCTGGCGCCGGGCTGCAGCCAGCGCCGACCGGAGCGGCCCCATCGTGACACCTAGAGGCGGCCCGCGAAACCTCCTCCACCCCGGGCCCCCTTACCTCCGCGCCACACCCCCTGCAGCGCCCGCTCCGCCGCCGCTCCACCGCTCCGGCCACCCGGCGTCCCCGGCCAGCTCCGCGCACCCGCACCGGCTACCGCCACCGCCGCTGCCGCCAAAGAAGCAGCTCCGCGCACGGTTTAATCGCTCCACAGGCTCGGACACAAAATGGCGGCGGCGCGGTGCAGTGCGCCTGCGTCGGCGCTGCCGGGGCCGCGGGTGCTGATAAGGGAAGGGACGGATGGGGGGGGCCGGCCGGGCGACGAGTGGAGGGCGGGGGAGGAAAGGTGAGGGGAGGGGTTGGCGCAGGGCAGCATGGGAGGCGGCCCCGGGCGCCAACTTTCAAAAGCGGGCGCGATGGCGTCACGGGACGCGCCGCGAGTCGCGTCACGCCGCACGCGCCCTCCCGCGCCCTCGCCCCCTCGCGCGTGGGCTCTGCGGGCGCCGCGACGTCCGGGCTCCCGCTGGGTGGGGTTTCCTGGGCGGAGGCCGCCGCCTCTGGGCGGTACAGGATCCCAGGCTTGTTTGACCTGGTTCTACAGCCGCAGTCTCCAGCCCCGAATCCGTAAAGGGGGGTTAGGGGTGGCAGGGAGGGTGTTTGGAGGAAGCGCGCGCGGGGCTAGGCGGTGTGGCTGAGGCGGTTCTTGGGCCGGGCCCCGCCCAAGTCTCCGCCCTAGCTGGGCCGGACCCTCCCTCCCAGCTCCCCACCGCAGCCCGCTACCGCGTTAAGGCCGGTTGGTCCCCCACACACTCCCAACTCCTCATAACTGTACAGCGCCTGCGGCGCGAGGATGAGAAGGGCTGTCCTTGCCCAGCGGCTTTTAAGGGAGCTCTCCGCCTCCTAAAACCGGGTGCAAGAGGAGAGGGCATGGGCTTCCCCTTGGTGTTACCAGTCCGCTTAAGCCAAGAAAGGCCAACAGAAGACCAGATTTGATGCTTATACACGACCACACCGGCCTTTTGTCAAAAGGACTTTCTTATTTGGCATGATATAATGCTGTATTTTAAAACCTACGCTTCTTATCTCTGTTCGAGAGCGAAGTTCTCTGTGGGCGGTGCCCTTCAGCCCCTTAAAGTGCGGTCGTCCCTCCCCTCCCCAGGATGCACCTGCGGCTTCTACCCAACCAGAGACGAAGTTCACCGACAGCAGACTGGAAGATTTTCTGGTGACCCAGGGAGGAGCGCCTTTGGTACTTAAGGGAATCTGACTCAAGACTGTATTCTGAACTCCCATACCTTAGATATCATGGATAACAATCGGAGCCAGCATCAACGAGACAGTTTCTGCTCCATTCAGCTGATTGTTCCCATTATGAGGATGCCAGCCCAATATTGACAGATATTCTGGGAGTTTTGTTGAAAAAGGGAATCAGAAATCTAGATTTTTGTAATGTAAAATCTTCAGATATTTAGGTGGTAGCTACTCAATCAGGTGTTTTTTAATTGCATGAACGGATTAAACTATGTATATGTGTGTGGGCTTTCACTTGGAGAAAAGAATGAAGAGAAATTCCAAGGCCAGATCCTAGACATTTTCAGCATTTAGAAATAGGATAATGGAGAAGAAAACTGAAAGGGGGCAGCCAGGAAGACAGAAATCCACAAGCGTGTTGAATTTGGAATCCAAGGGCAGACAACGTTTAGGTAGGGGGAGTGGTCAGCGGTGTCTAGTGGGGCTGAGAGGTCAACTTGGGCCAGAGACAGGGCTATTGGATTGGTCACCTTGGAATTCAGTGGAGACTATCATTGGCGAATTTGGCTTGATTCGTGGTGTAAATCAAGAGATTTTGACCTCACTAGGATGGGTTGAGAATGAATGGAAAAGTAAGGAAATAGAGCATATGTAGGCAACATGAGAAGTTTTGCTGTGAAGGGAGCAAACTTTAGGGATAACTGGAAAGTTAACTTTAGGGATAACTGTGGAAAGAAGTTTTGCTGTGAAGGGAGCAAAACTTTAGGGATAACTGTGGAAAGATCTGGGGTCAAGGGAGGAGATGTTTTAAAACCTGGCAGGATTCTGGAGCATGTTTATGTGCCATCAGGTGTGATACAGGAGAGAGAAGGCTTGCTTGACCTATATAGGAGTGAAATCCATGACAGGATATAAGGAAACTGGGAGGACTGACCTTAGATAGGAACAGGATGCTTCCACTATGATAATTAAGGTAATAAAGGTGAAGATCAGTGCAAATGCTGAGGGTGGGAGGAGCAAGCTTACAACTTTCCTAGTAGGACTGCCTACATTGGGTATGTAGGACTGGCAATATTGGGTATCCATTTGAAGTTTGTAATCATGAATTTAAAGTTAAACCAGTTGGGCAATATGTGTTTTTTTCCAGCAATATTCAGCTGCTTGGGTACAGACATGCAGAAAAGAGATCATTTGGTTTCTCAACACGAGGGCCCAAGTTTTCTGATTCCTGATCTCAGGTACTTGCCTTATTAATCACTTAATATTCTAGAAATGTGTGACTATTCGGAAAATTTACATGTGATCCCTTTTTCTAGAAACCAAATTATCGCATTTGTCTCATATATACCAGAGGGCTCAAAAGTAAAGAAAAGGCAAACTTAGGGGAAATTACTCTGGAATATTTGCTTCTTGCAATTTCTTCAGTGCTCCACCCCAGACACCTCCCGTTGTACCTAGGAACTGTGTACTAGGAACAACAAGGCTGACTTGCGCTTAAATTCTTAGCTTCTTTTTCTTTCTGGCATCTTTAATAATCTGATTAATAAACTTACTATAAGACTTTACTTCAGACCATCTTCCTTTAAGAGTACGCTATAAGAATGTTTTCTAAAGCTTTAATATGGGCAAATGTAAGTCAGTGTATTTAGATGGAAAAAACTTAAACTATATTTACAATGATATTTACAGCTGCCATGGCTTGAATATTTGTGTCCCTCTCAAAATTCATATTTGAAATCCTAATGCTCAATGTGATGATATTAGTAGGTGGGGCCTTTAGGAGGTACCTAAGTGATGAGGGTGGAACCCTCACAAATTGGATAAGTGCCTTATAAAAGAGGCTGCATGGATATCCCTGGTCCCTTCCACCATGTTAAAGAAGGCAACGGCTATGAACCAAGAAGAGGGCCTTCATCAGAATGCAGCCATGTTGGTACCTTGATCTTGGACTACCCAACCTCCAGAACTGTGAGCAATAAATCTGTTTATAAGTCACCCAGTCAGAGGTTATTTTGTTATAGCAGCCTGAGACAACTATATTTATAATAATTATATCAAGGGCACCTGGTTGGCTCAGTCAGTAGCACATGCAACTCTCAATCTCAGGGTTCTAAGCTGGAGCCCCACATTGGGTATAGAGATTACTTGAAAATAAAATCTTTAGGGGCACCTGGGTGGCTCAGTCCGTTGGGCGTCTGACTCCGTTTCTGCTTAGGTGGTGATCTCATGGGTCGTGAGATCAAGCCTGCATGGGGCTCTCTGCTCAGCACTCAGTGGAAAGTCTGGTTGAAGATTCTCTGACACTCAAGTATGCTAGCTCGCTTGCTCTCTAATGAATAAATCTTTAAAAAAAAAAAAAAAAAAGAACTATCAATTGTATGGCCTCTGAGGCATCAGTTAGAAGCCAAGAGTGGAGTCCCAGTGGCCTTGGAGCCTGCTTTCTGAAGAAAAATATCCTAGGTACTATTCTGACCCAGGGCTGAGGAAATGCTGAGGATCGCTAGAAAGGGACAAGAGGAAGTGTTTTCTTCTCCTTGTAGGAAACAGGGATATGTCCTACTTCATGGAATTGACTCCCAAGACCAAGAAATGGAGAGGCAAGACAAAAGGATAGGATGTTTCAGCCTGGACAGAAACAAGCTGAGCATGAAAAGCAATACGATCATGAGAGCCTGTGAAACCATTGGGATGATAAAAATAAGGACAGAGTTGTTCCCTGCTACTCCAGTACTACTCCAGACTACCTCACCAATGAAAACTGTGGTGATTTAAAACCACTCTGTGATTTAAGGAAGAATTCTTGATGTGAATTCTAAGGTTTGTAGGCCGCAGGAGTTCAGGGCATTATCAGCTGGGGCTGTAGGCTTACTACATGGCATTAGTGAAGTCACCACGTTCCAGGATCTGGTGCTCAGCCTCACAGGCAGGACAAGAAATGCAGTCTGTATCCTAAGAGTGTATTTCTTCCTTAGGGACTTGTCAGGTTCACAGGAGCTTGGTGGATAAGCAGAGTGCTGCTTTACTACCTGGCAAGTGGGCCAGTGTCCTGGGGCTGGCACAAGGCATGTTCTTTCCCTACAGAAGAGCCTTCTGGGAAGCCAAATTACTAGAAAGCTTGGTGAGCAGTTAATTAGATTAAGAAATGTAAATTATATAACATAAATGTTTACTCTTACCCTCTCTGGATGCTAGAGTCAGACTGTCCAGGATTTGAGTCTTAATCTTGGCTCTTTATTGGTTGTGTGATCTTGGGTGAATTGTAACAACTGTAGATTTCTTCACTGTAAGATAGGATGATAATTGTACTTCACACAGGATTAAACAAGGAAATGCTAGTAAGGTTCTTGGCATAATTCTAGACACCAGTAATCTTACAAAAAATGTAATTTATTGATTTTATAATCTTACAAAAATGTAATTATTCTTTTATTTTTATGCTTCTTGTTACCTACCTTCACTCCCAAATCATCCTTCTGGTGGACACAGTCTTTCTAGAGTCATTAACAGAATCAGTTACTGACTAGGCTTTCCTTGGCTTGAGAGCCATTCTTTCTTTCTTTTTTTTTTTTTTTTAAGATTTTATTTATTTATTTATTTGAGAGAGAGAGAGAGAGAGAGAGAGAGACAGAGAGAGAGATATCACAAGTAGGCAGAAAGGCAGGCAGAGAGAGAGAGGGTGAAGCAGGCTTCCCTCTGAGCAGAGAGCCTGATACGGGGCTCAGTACTAGGACCCTGAGATCATGACCCCAGCTGAAGGCAGAGGCTTAACCCACTGAGCCACCCAGGTGCCCTAAGAGACATTCTTTCTTGGAAAGGTGTACTTTGTGCTGTAATTCTCAGGAAACAATTCTATTTACAAGATCTTTCTTGGTTCCCCCATTGACCCATGTAAAGTCAGCAATTATTATGATCATTTATGTGTGTGTGTTTAAACTTTTTTTAAGCAAGAAAATCAACAATGGAGGAGAGGTGTTGATTTTCTAAGTAAAAATGGGCAGGAATTTTCTTGCTCACTTGGGGTAAGACCTAAAGTTACACCTGAATACCCCTGTTGTGTCTGTATCTATTATGTGAGATATAATTCCAATTTAGCAAACATTCATTGAGTACCTGCTGTTCTAGGCCCTGGAGATGTAAAAGGACTCAAGATGTGTTTCCTGTCCTTGAACTCAAAGTTTAACTGCTCAGACTGGTTAAAAACAAAACAAAAAAACACGCAACCACACCAAAACAAAATAAAACAAAAAACAATTATTGCAATAATGGTTATAACAAGAAGAAATGAATTCATAGATAAAGGAGAGTCAATCATTCTCTAGGAGTATCTCATTTCAGCTGGGTGGTAGAGGGTCAGAAGGCACTAACAAGCAAGGCAAAGGCATTTAAGGTGAAAAGCCATCATCAGGAGTGTAAAAGGGCACAAGAATGTTGGGGGACAGCAAGTCATTCTACACCGTTGGACTAGGGTGCAAAGTAGTCACACTAAACCTTTTTTTTTTTTTTTTAATACTAAACCTTATAAGATGTTTGGAAAGTTTTAGTGTCAAGGGCAACCCTTTGTCCTAACACTTTAAAGACCTGCCACTTCATATCTCCTACCCAGACCACAAGGATTTTTTTTACTGATATCTACTTTCTTCAGACCCCTATAAAAAGCCATGTTTATTTTTTATCTCTTGGTTCAAATTACTGCTTTCTAGAATCTAAAGGACTTTACCTAGACTTACATCCCACACTGGGGAATGTGCTCTTTTGTTTTCTGTGCTCTTACCTGCATTTTTCAGGCATGCATTGATCACCTTTTAATAATACATCTCATCTGTAGATTTTTTTTTTTTTTAAGATTTATTTATATGAGAGAGAGAGAGCATGCACGAGTACAAGCAGGGGGATGGGGCAGAGGCAGAGGGAGAAGCAGACTCCCTGCTGAGCAAGGAGCTCAATGCAGATGAGTCCCAGGACACAGGACCCTGGGATCATGACCAGAGCCAAAGGCAGATGCTCAACCGACTGAGTCACCCAGGCATCCATCATCTGTATGTCTTTCATTTTGCAAAATATCTTCATATCTGCCCTTTCAATTGATGTTCACAGCTCTGTTTGAAGAGCCAGACACAGTTTTGTCCTAAACTCAGGAAATGATGTGACTTGCTCAGCCATCCAGTAACTTGTTGGAAAAACCAGAATGAGTGCTTAGATCTTCCAGCCCAACCCCCTGTCTTCCAGTTCTTTCAGTGGCTGCTTAGAGGTCCTCACAGTCAGATAACATTTCCAGTCTTATAGGGATCCTCTAGAGATGATGCTTTAGCTCAGAGTGTGCCTTGGAAGGATAAGAGGTAGGGGAAAGGAAGTCAGGCAGGCTCCGTGCCTCTGTGCTCCTCCCATGCTCTCCCACATCCCCAAATGTTATGGGATTTGTTTAGAGGAGGACATGGTTTCTGCCCCTAAAAAGTTGGACATTTACTGCCTTAACTCAAAGGAAGGGCTTTAATGGTGGAAATTTCAGGCATTTGGAAGGCAAATAGCAGAAGAGTTTAGACTGATGAATTTTTAATCTAAAGTATGTTCTGAGTAACTGCTTGAGATACAGATCAATGCCCATGCTGGGTAATACTGGAGAGAGATGCCGTCCCTAGCTCTCAAGTGCTTTATATTTTGTCTTAGCCTGTAGAGGCCAGACTAAACTTCATGAGCATTAGTAGCTGGAAGTCAAGGATGGAGAGGCAAGTGTAAGGTCTGACTGCAGCTGTGGGGGGAACAGATGGATCACTGAACATCACAGTAGTCACATAAGACTTAACAGTAAAGCAAGGATGATTCTCAAGCTTCTGTCTCCAGCCCACACCCTTCTCTTCTTGCCCCAGATCTATATTTTCAGCTTCTTTCTGGTTACTTCCTCCTAGAAAACTCCCAAGTCACCTTACCTGCCTTGTTACTCGCCTCCCAACCCGCTTCCGTTATAAGGGCTCTCTCTTTTTAGTGAGTGATATCACCATCCCAGCCATCAGACCAGAAACTTGGGCTTCACTTTCTCACCTCCCACATCCCATCATCACCAAACCGTTTTTCCATTCTGCTTTGGAACATCTCTTCACTAGCCTCTCCATCCCCGCTGCCTCTATCCGGCCCAGGCTGCTATCACTTCTCCTAACTATGCCTTCAGATGCCTCACTGCTTCCTGCCTCCTCTCTCCACACAACTGCTAGAATGACCTTTCCAAAGACTAAATGTGATCACAAAATTCTCCTGCTTCAAGCCCACATATGGGTCTCCAGTTCCCTGGGGGTAAATTCCAAGCCCTACAGCCACTCCACAAGGCGCTGTGACAAGCCCCTGCTCACCTCTTCAGCCTCATTTTTTAAGATTTTATTTTTTATTTTTTTTAAAGATTTTATTTATTTATTTGAAAGAGAGAGATCACAAGTAGGCAGAGAGGCAGACAGAGGGGAAGGGGGAAGCAGGCCCCCTGCTGAGCAGAGAGCCTGATGCGGGGCTCGATCCCAGAACCCTGAGATCATGACCTGAGCTGAAAGCAGAGGCTTAACCCCTGAGCCACCCAGGCACCCCAGG